TGGCCCCCCATCAGGGTCGGGCCTGCTTGGCTTCAAAGATCATGTTGGTTCAAGCAACCGGAGTTGGTCTTCGACATCCATCGCCATCTAACCAAGCAAGGGGAAGCCTTTAGCATTGGCAATATGGTTGCCACCCAACAACACTCCTCAAAGAGAGAGATAGTTGTTGCATGGGAACGAGGTGATCCGAGGAGGATCGAACTCGCTAACCCAGCTTCAGATGAGCACCTCAACCAAACCTCCACTTCATCGAGACCAAACCAAATCTCGTCGACCAGGCAGCACCACGACCACCTCCACTTATCATTGGTCCCTCCAGTCGGTAAGAAGCTCCTGGAACGATGCCATAAGTGGTGCAACGCATGTCGCCATCATTGTTTGATCCCAAGGGAATCTAGGGTTTCCCTAGGAACTTTCTCGTGCAGTGGAGAAAGCAGAACACTTCAACAACGCCTTCCATAAGGATGTGGAGCCCACACGTGTCGCCCTCACCCGCCCCGGCCCATGACAGGCAGCAAGCCTTCACCCGACGCTGCACCACCCACCCGCCCGCCCAAGCCAGACCACCACCACAATCACACGCCTGACGGTTGTCAGCCCCACACGCCAACTTCGCCGCAGCCACCTTCCGATATAGGCACTAGAACCCAGATCTCCATAGTCACCACCAGCCCCGCGCTCGGTAACCATCGGCCCCATGCGCCTGACGGTCGTCACAGCCATTAACAGATCTGGACGCCGAGGCCCCGATCTGTCACACACCGGCCCCCAGAGCCGCCAACAGCACCACCCTGCACGCGACCGCTCGACAAAGCCTTGTGATATGTCACATTGTTTATGCTACATTCATACTAAAATTTATACATGCTTTGTCACCAATTCCAGAACTATATAAGTAAATTGTTGTCGCAATGGGACTCAGAACTCCAACACCCAAAAAGTTGCTCCACCAAAACCAAGATCCAATATGAGGGTCTCTCGCCACCCGGAGGCCATGAACACCAAGGACCAGAGGAGGAAACCTTTGACACGCAGTTGGACTAACCCAGTTGCATGTCCATCCTTGACACGCTACTCGCCCGACCTAGTTGCCTATCCACCCTCGACACACAACTCGCTCAACCCAGTTGCATGTTCACCATTGACACACAACTTTTTCCTACCCCAACCAGTTGCATGTCCACCCTTGATAAGCAACTTGCCCGACCCTGACCCAGCTCCATGTCGACCCTCGACATGCAAATGGCTAGACCCAGTTGTCTGCCAGCCCATGACATGCAACCCGCCCGACCCAGTTGCTTGTCCACCCTTGACACACAACTTGCCTGACCTAGACATAGTTGGATGTCCATTATTGACACGCAACTTGCCCGACCCCGACCCAGTTGCCTGTCGACTTTGACTTGCAACTCACTCGAGCCAGTTGTCTGTCCGTCCTCGCCATGCAACTTGTTTGACCCAGTTGCATGTCAAATCTTGACACGCAACTCACCAACCAGTTGCATGTCCGATATCGACGCACAACTCACATGCAACCTGACCCAGTTTCTTCTCAACCATCGACATGGAACTTGCGTTGATCCAGTTGCATGTCCACCCCAGACACGCAATTCACCCCGACTTGACCCAGTTGCATGTCCACCCTCGACACACAACTTGTCTGACTCACTTGCATGTCCACCCATGTAATGCGACTCACCCCGACCCAGTTGCATGTCTACCTCAACACACAACTCGTCTTGACCCAATTACATCTCCATCGTCAATATGCAAATTTATATTTATTGGGGGTAGTTTTTTTCCTGTAAAATAATAGTTTTGAACGATAACATCCATTGTCATGTATTGGAGAGCAACTATCTAACGGGTACCGCTTCGGGGGCTCCCGTGGAGGTCACTTTTTGGCGCTGGGAGCACGTCAAGTGGTGTGTCTAGCCGCCACCATATGTCCCGCGTTGGGTTCAGCCTCAGGATTATGTTTTTCTTTTCTTTTGCACACGTTTTTGGGTGTTCTTGCTTTTTTCTATTCGGCTTTTTCTAGGTTTTGACAGGAAAATTTTCTGTTTTCTTTTCTGGGAAGCCGTGCTTGACGGGAAAATGCTTTTCCACGAAGTCGTGCTTTTTTGTGAGAAGACATGTGCATCTGCGAGAAACAAAACTATGCTTCTAGAAGAAAAAAAGCATAGTTGTGCTTTCTCGAAAAAAGAGTAAAATCACAACCTATGTTAAAAAGCATAGTTGTGCTTCCAAAAAAGCAGTATTTGTTTCCATGAGACTATGCTTCTCGAAAAGGGAAAGGTAATAGAAAGTGAAAATATATAATCATGCTTCTGTTTTTGTTTTCGATTCTGATTTGTTTCCAGCTTTCGGGTTTTGTTTCTTATTTCCTTTTTTTTGTTTTCATTTCCAGTTTTCTCCTGGTTTTCCGCAAAAATAAAATTTCATCGAAACCTATTAACATCGAAGATCTTGAGCTAAGAAATCCAACAATGAAAACAGTTTGCGATTTAGACGTTGTTCAAGAGAAAAAACAATTTGAAAAACCAAATCTAAAAAAACTCTTAGATTGCGCCAAGTGACGCACATGTAGAGAAGGTGAGAATGATCTTTGCAAGAGGCATCCTTAATTAGTGATTTCACATGTATTTCCCTACAAGCAAGGCGCAAAGCCTGCATGTGCACTCACTAGTAGAAAACAGGGCTTTGGTTCGAGCCTGCCAAGCCCATTAGTCCCGGTTCAGTTAAGAACCGGGACCCATGGGGGGCATACGTCCCGATTCATGCGCCCAGGGGCCCGGCCAGGCCTCGGGAGGCATTTGTCCCGGTTTATGTGGACCCATTTATCCCGGTTCTAGGCACGAACCGGGACCAATGAGCCTCGCTCCTGGCCCACAACCATTGGTCCCGCTTCGTGCCTAGAACCGGGACAGAAGGGGGGCCTTTAGTCTCGAGTCCAGCCACGAACCGGGACAAATGAGTTGCCTACATATACCCCCTCGCCGACGAGCAGAGCAGTCCACACTGCTCTGTTTTTTTGCTGGTGAGGGGAGGGCATTTGGGTGCTCTAGCTCACCTCCTATGCACATGAGGTGTTCGATGAAATGCCCGAGCCACGCTAGTTAAGTTTTCTCCTCTCGGAGCTCGACCTCCGAGCTCCATTTTTCCCGAGATTTGTCTAGGTTTAGCGGTCCGTCACGCCCCGTCCCCGTCTTCACCGCCGTCGATCGCCCGCGGTGATCTCGTCGCCGGCACCACCGTGGTGAGCCTCTTGTTCTT